CCCAACAAGAATGTGACAGGCATCCCAACTGTGATTGTTTTTGCTAGCGGCTAAGCTAACAACCGCATGTTGTAGGCTAGCAACGACAAAAAATTATCTAAACTATTGCTGCGCCTTCAAACTGTTTTTTGGGGGGCTTTTAATAATAGGACAGTTGGTGATAGACATGAAAGGAGGGAGGATGGCATGCAGCACAAGGGCCATGAGTCAGAATCGAAGAACTCAGGACCTATATTTACCTTTAATGGTAATATTTTCTTTTTATTATAAACCTATTGTGTAAAAGCCGAGCAGGGAAACACAGACAGGCAGGATATTTAGATTTTGACATGAAAAACACTAAACGTCCTCTCACCTCAATGCCAAATATCTTACTCCTGAAATTACCCAACAGGTGACCTCTGACCCCAGTTCTGAAAATTTTTGAACACTTTTTACAGTGTCCTCTAGGGCAGTGGCTCCAAGCTGATCCAGCCAGGGGTCCAGATTTCTCCTTAGTCATTAGTGTAAGGTCCACACAGTTTAACCTTTGAAACCTGAGCAAGGCTTGGCTTGATTTCTTTTAAAAACGGGAAGAGGGTTAAAAGCAACAAAAGAAGAAATGACCCAAAAAACTGGTAAGAAATTAGTAAAAAAGAAAAAAAATTTAAAACAAGAAAATTAGTAACAAAAGAAAGAAAGACAGAAAGTTAACAACAAACAAAAAGGAACTAACCTTGAAAAATTATAATTATTCTGTAATATAATTTTAAAATGTAATAATAATAAGTACATACATAACAGTACAATATTAAAACAAATTTTTATTTATTTTATTTTATTTTATTTTATTTATCTATTTATTTTTTTGCAATTTGTGGGAAAGAAAACCAGTTTTCAAAGGTTTAAATACTTGTGAGAGGTGCCTGAAAGCAGCACAAAAAAAGTAATGTTGCTCCAGGTTTCAGAGGGTTAATATATTCAGCATCATACTTGTGTTTGGCCATGTCATTGAGCTGGTTTGCTGTCTCTGTTAAGTAGCTGTCCGTTAGTCACTCTCTCTAGAGCAGGAAATGGCACTTCTAAATAAAAGCACTGTGCCAGGAACTCACTGTACTTCTAAATAAAGTGTGTTTTTTACAAACTTGACACATTCGTGAGTCACTTGTGGTCCATTCAGAATGGACACGGAACCCGCTTTTGGACTTCGGCCCACCAGGAACGCTCTAGAGAACGAGATCTAATGAATATGACAACCATCTGATTTAATGCCAGTGTAACTGCTTATTGACTACAGTTGTTTTCATCTTATTTTATTTACTATCCTTTTACTCATCTGTTTTGTTGATATGTGATTATTCTCCTCATATTTTCTCTCTATTTCATTATAAGTGTGTTACACGCAATGCAACCTCTGTGTTTTCCAGTTTGTTTCATGTGCTGCTGCACACTAGCACAAGGCACTGCTGTAGATTTTGAATCAATGATTAATAAATTAAATAAAATAAAGTTATATACACACATGTCCCATTGTTTTATCTCTTGTATGGTGCACTACAGGTGAGGTTACAACTATTTTATATTATGATGTCATCACAAAATCAACATTAATTTCCTTATGTTGTTCAGAACGTTGCAGTACATGTTGCACTGTTTTAGTGACACCTGAGGGGAAAGAAAAAGTTCTGGTTTGACTGTATGTGCACAAATCGGTCAGTCAAAGTGAAACACTGTCTTCTGGCTGCTCACATAGAAACTGGACATGAGACACAGTCCAGATCCTTCACAACCCCCAAACACACAAACACACACACTGCCTCCCTTTTGGGTGCCCTATAATGCCAGATCCTTTTGGGCTGACAGGTGACAGAACAGTCTACATCAACGTAGGTCGACTGTCTTTATTGCAGACACACACACACACACACACACACACACACACACACACACAAACACACCCTGCTGCTGTACAGTAGACAGTTCCAGACGTGCCAGGGCTGGACATGCCCAAAAGGCAGAGCCTGTTCCCTGTCACCGATCAGCTGGTGGCAGACAGCGGGATGTGTGTGAGTGCGTGTGTGTGTGCGTGTGTGCATGTGTGTGTGTGTGTGTGTTGGTATTATGCTTTTTTTTTTTTTTTTTTTACATTTTTATGCACTCCAATCCCACTAAAAAATCTGAACGCTTCTGTACAGTAAGGCACTAGAGCAAGGACAGAGCGCTACATGCAGCACACTGTAGATTAGAAGAGTTACTGGTGACACTGACTGTTACTGGTCACGGTCTTATTTCATACTCATCGTAAATTGGATTTTCTTGTATCAATTATCTGCATATTAACTGACACCACAATGATGAGACAATCGTGAGATTATATCTGTACAATAGCATATAAACGCAGGTTTTCATAGCTAAAAGAGCACAATAGCTTTCCTAACCTGGATGAGATTGTGCATTACTTCACATCATCAGTCAGTATGTAAGCTTGCAGATTCAGTGTTGGGGGTTCCAACATGTCACAGGACATGCCAGGGAAGAATAAAGGAGACACGAGGAGGCAGCAGCCCACCCAGGACTGCTGGCACGGCAGCCAGGGGCGGGGCCAAGACAGCATGGCACACGTCGACCTCAGACCCCCCTCCTCCTCCCCTTTTCCCCACGGGCTCTGACAGGCGGCACGGGAACCCCTTGGCCCAGTGAGGGGTGGACAGCCATCTGACAACTCCCCACCTGCGTGACCTTTACCATGCTTGACCCCCTGCAGGAGACAATCACCTCATAGCAAACAGCCCCACGGGAGATGTAGACACACAGCGCAGTCAGGAGGACGCACATATGGAAAGACATACATAATGCACAGATTGACTGAAGGTAAGATGGAGGGACAGACATGCAAACAGGCTTGTGATGAGTCATTCAAACCTGGATGGCTGCTTTCCAACAACAAAGGGGTTATTTAGTTGCCAGGATAGTCAAGGGATAAGCTCATCTTTGGAGTCTACCATCTTAAATTGGACTAAACACGACATTCAGCTGTGTGGGCAGTGCCTTTGTTAAGGCCTCGTCGAACAGATGTATGTGTTCAGTTGGATGATCAGCAATTCACATATAGAGAACGTTTTCTACCTGTTAGTTAGTGAGATTTGAACCAGTTTCACGTTTCTAGTCAGCTGAATAGATGCAGTAACAAAGACGGTAGCAGATTTTGGACAGGCTCTACATGGTCATAGCATAATCATGGACACACAACGAATGTCCTGATTTTGGGGGACTGAACAAAACCAACTAACTAATATGCCAAAGTAAAAAAAAAGGAAAGCTAAAAATTGTGATATATTTTTAGACTTTTATAAGGTTGTGTTCTTTTGACCTTGTATCTCCGTGATACGGGCTGTAGATTATTAGTAAAAGGGCAATTTTTCAAGTTTAGATCTCTGTAGAAAAAATATATAGCCTATTTTAAGAATTAGGCACATCATGTCAAGATATCAGGAAATGACTGTAACATCTATTCCCTGAGTTTAGTTTTGCTTTTCTGTCTTTGTGAATTTTTGGTTACTTCCTGTTTTATATTTGTATTTATGGTGCGTTCGTTTTGTACTCGGGGGTCGGAAGTCAGAAGTTGGAATGACGTCAACTCCGAGCTGACAACAGTTTTTTGCATTCTAGTTGATAACGGTGGATAAGCTGGAAAAAAACATGGACGTTACCGTTCTACCGTTGGGCTAGCTGTAGCCACTCTTAGCAGTATCAGTTGATAACAACGCTCTATGTGGCATTTTGCACATACAGACAGCTTAGCAACATGCCCACAGATAGATAAAAAATTAACAGTACTATGGGTATGGCTGACCTAATGTAAAACAAATAATATAGAATTGCTATAAACAGTACTTTAGCAGAGTGTTTACTCACTATGTATGTGACTGGCAGCCATCATGAATTCATAAGTCGGGGTTGATGTGGTTGCTCCGAGTTTCCGAGTTGGAAATCCGACCTCAAGGTGCATTCGAGTTTAAACTTCTGACTGGGAACTGGGAATTTCCGACCTCCGAGTACAAAACGAACGCAGCATTACCTCTGCCTTTCATTTCAGATATTCACTTCCTGTTTCCCGCCTTGTGTAATTACCTGCCCCATCCTGATTAGTGTCACCTGTGTCCCATCTTCCCTTGTCTATTTAGTCAGTGTGCTTCCCTTTGTTCTCTGCCAGTTCGTCTTTCCAGTTGTCTGTAAGCGTCCCTAGTGTCAGTTTATAGTGGTTTTTGATCCCCTTCTGTTTTTCGACCCTGATTTCTGCCCCAACAATCCGGATACCTCTGCCTTATCTGACTGCCCACTTGTGTACTGAACCCATTTCCTCATTAAAAGGATTATTGATTGGAACTTCTGCTGTGTTGAGTCCTGCTTTTGAGTCCAAACTACTGTCGGTCTTAACAATGATTTCTTTTCTTGCCATCCAACGATCAACAACATATTGCAGTGTGAACAAAAAAGTTCATTTGCTCTTTTCCCCAAATTACATGGACTGTCACATGCTGTTTTTTTTCCATATATTATAATAAATACTTTTAAGTCGTGTTAATGAATACTGGTGATATTATGACTTGATCTATAACTTTTACGGCTTCAATTTCCATTGATAAAATGCAGCAATAAGCAATCTCACCTCACTTCAGTGTTGTTCTTCAGCCTTCCTTGAGTCAACATCAATAAGTTGTCCTTCCATAACATTCATAACTGGGCTCAGTCTGTTGATGAAGATAATGTGATGTGACTGAAAGCTCCAGAACAGCTACTTTATGGACCTTGGTATGTTTCACTTCTAAATATGCAATTTTTTCAATAATTTATGTTGAAATTATTATTATTATTGTTGTTGTTGTTATTGTTATTGTTATTATTATTATTACTTACTCCATAAGTAGCTGTTGTACTGGTAGTTAGGGTAGAAGTATACAGTGCCAGTACCACTATTAAGAAAAAAAACAACAACTGCGACAGTAGCTTTGAGATGCTGACGTCATCAACAGACGACATGGCGGTTTGATTGAGACAACAAACGTGAAACGTCGGTGCTGGTGCAAATGCTAAAAAGTAAGTACATATTCTTCATTGAGATATTAACGCGGAATACACTTATTTAAGTGACATTAGAAGTTGCTGGTAAAGCTTTGTTGGCGACCGTTAGAGTGAGTTTAAAGCGTTTTACGGATGTGACGACACGTTAAAAGCCCACTGTTTGTGTTTGTAGCTAACGTTAGCAGCTCAAGCTGTCAACTCCACGTTGTGACACAAACGTAACTAAGCATTAGAAACATCCCTGCTAACTTTATTTTAATTTCTTTAATGCTTAGGTCACCTCTGTTGGACTTGACACCACCTTCTGCTATAACACCGAGCTTGAACCAAATCAACAGCCATGAATCCAGCAATTAGACGGAGACTTCCTCAGTCTGTGAGGAGCCTTCTGACAGACATCGGTCCAAAGGAAGAGTGGACTGACACAGAGCCCGACACAGTGACCAGAGATGGGATCCTGCTCCCCTCCAGAGGAGCTGCCTCTGGACAAGAGGAGCTTCTCACACCAGCCAGGACACAAGAGGAAGAGGCTACAGTAGATGTCAGTAACGCCAGAGGGAGGGCAGTCTGCATGTTGTGTAAAAGCAAGCCCTCATGTTACACCTGCCCTCGTTGTAACCTGCATTACTGTGGCTTGGCTTGCTACCAGAGCCCAGATCACCGTGTGTGCTCCGAGGAGTTTTACAAGGAGTCAGTTCTGCAGGAGTTGAAGGATATGGGGAAAACTGAAAGTGAAGGGACAAAGAAAATGCAGGAGATTCTTGTGGGACTCAGACAAAAGGCGGAAAGGACAGATGGGGGGATGGAAAGTTTGTTAAAAGATGCTGGTATTGTGTCAGAAGACATGGATGAAGGGGAAGGAGACACAGCAGAGAAAGTGCAGGTTGTGGAGCTCCTGTCCAGGTTAGCGGAGCTTCAGCAGTCTGGAGAAGGGAGTGCAGCTGAGGTTGAAGCTATTTTGAGGAAACTTGAAGAAATCGGAGGAGGGGAGCTGCTGCATGGAGACATAGATGAGGGCGCTGAAGGTGCAGAAGGGGAGCTGGACTTGGCTGAGAGGCTCTCAGGGATGGATATTGACAAACTTTCAGAAGAGGAGCTGTGGGAAGTTCTCAACAGTACAGAGAAAGAGAAGTTTATTGGTCTGATGAAGGGGGGCGCTCTCGGTGGGCTGGTTCCTTTGTGGAAGCCGTGGTGGGAGGAGCATGAAGAGGGAGGCAGAGCACTGGTGGAGGTGCTCGAGGAGGAAGTGAGCAAAATGGAGAGAGAAAATGCCAAAACTATGCATGAACAGGATGCTGATAATAAAGTCAAGACATCACAAGAAGTGGTTCAGAATCAGGAGAAATCAGCTACAAAGCAGAAAAAGTCCAAAGGAGGAAACAGAAAGGAAACAAACAAAGGAAAGGGAAGTTCAACAGTTCCCAGCGTTCCTCCAATTTCTGCAAAAATCCCAAAGCTGAGTTCATTATGTGCAAATCCATCTCCCCTTATATGCTATGGTTTGGTCAATGCACTTTTTGCTTACACTTTCACCCTGTGCCTGTTTAACAATGACACTGATTCATTCATGTTTGAGCTCTGTGACATGATTCTTGCTCTGTCTGAGGCGCTGAGCTCAAACAGGGTGTTCAGCTCTGCCCAAGAGGCCTTAGACTGTGGAGAGACTCTCATTTTGAATGGAGGTTACCTCGACAAGGATGATCCTCTTGCCCCAGCCAGGGCGGTGGAAGCCGTGGCTCATATCATGACCGGCAGAGACAGAAAGGACGCCACAGGATACTGCCTGGCAGCTTTGAGTCAGCTTCGTTCGGTGCTCTCTCAGGCCAGAACAGCCCTGTCTAAAGAGGGAGAGGAAGGGGCAAGGAGACACAAGTACTTCCTGGCAAGCAAGAAGTGTGAATTCTTTCAAGCCTGGGTGTTGGACAATGAACACGGGATTCGTAGACTAGCTATTGAGTTGTGGAATGAACACAGTAAAAGAGAGAGTTTAAGGAGCAGCATGGAGAAAGCAAAGACTGTAGTTGAGCAGAGCTTGAAGAAAGGGAAGAACAAAGAGAAGAGTACGTTAATAGAAGAACTGAACTGATGAAATTATCTTTTGAACATATTGATGATTGTAAAAGTTTTTAATGCAATAAAAATGTATTTAAAACTAAAAATATCTTCTCTTACTGTGAAATTCAACCGCTACAAGGTCATTACTGGTCTGCTCTTAATATACTGTTAAACACTGTGTCCAGAAGTAGCTTAGTGATGTAAATAAAGTTTAATATTATTACGACTTCATATAAGAACAGATGCCACCACAAAATATAAGCAGACATTTTTTTTATTTAATAATGTCTTGCATTGCATGTTGTAAGTGTAGTTTAAAAGTTTAACAAGCACAAACAGGCAGAGCTAGAGTGTAACATGACGAACAAAAATAGTATTATATATGATATAAATTGAGAAAAGTAACGGAGGATTTACTTGTGTAGCTTATGTAGGTATTTACATTTTTTCCTGGACCTGGTGGTGTGGTGATAATTGAGGTGTAAGAGTTGGTGTAAGTTAAGATGTCTGGGACAATGACAATGATGTATAATTTATAGGAAATGAAAATGTAGTTTGAAAAAAAAAAAAAAACGAAGTCCACTTACTTTTTGGGGCTTTTTAACACCATCTCACAGGCTTACTTAGGTGGCAGTTTTTAATCTTCACCTCAACTGAGGAGGACCATGAGATGTGGTTGAAACCCACAGACAAACCTTGTAAGTGGACCTTTTTTGTGAAGCCACTGTTTCCAATATCAAGAATGAACTTTCATGCTCCGAAGAAATAGGTACATACAATGTACTAGGTATTCTGTTAACCTTTCATCTTCAGGCACATACATTGCAAGGCTAGCTTTATATAAAAATATTGAAATTACAACTAACTTATGTACAAAACTTTAAACTCTTACAGCATTATATTAATTGAGCATAACTAAGTACATTTACGCTTGTTTTATACTGAAGAGAAATTTTAATATTTTCCATTTTCTGCTTCTGTATAGTTCTACTCCACTACCCTTTTTGTACTTTTTATTCTACTACATTTGTTTGACAACATCAATTACATGTTTCTTTGCAGATTCGGATTACAGTACAACATACAAATCAAGCAATGGATAACTAATGAATATGGATTTAGCTACCTGCAGCATATAAAGTAGTCAAACCATTTTTACTAGCTGCAACGATAGTGATACTTACACATGAATGATGATTTCAATCCAGTGTAGTATACATTATTCCTAAATGGGCCAATCTGTATAATAAGGACTTTTACTTTTGGTATTTTAGGTTTTATTTCTATACCAATACTTGTGTATTTTTACTGAGGAAAGATTTTGAATGCAATTTTTAGCTGCAACTCTTACTTGTAACAGAGTATTAATACACTGTGGTATTGCTACTTAAAAAAACAAACATCTTTATTCAATAATACAATGTACAAAAATCGTCAGGTGTAAAACAAGGACAAAAGGAGAGCTGTAACATGAATTGCAATGAGAGATACATGAAATTCTACAAACAGGATGAAAAACTTACAAAATCATCACATACATATTTAGAAATTTTATAATATATAAAATAAAATAAGAATGGAAAAAACAGTTCATCTAACATGAGTGTGTTTCATCCTGCTTCTTCCATCACTGCATGGCACAGTGTGTAAGAATAAAATCACGCCCTCAACCGGAACTCTCGCGGTGCTTTCTTCTGACTGGTCACGTGGTGCGCATGCCCTTCCACTGTGCGACAGAAAACATGGCTGCGCTCTTGAGATCAGCCCGGTTACTCAAGTTTTCGCCTTCGGGCCTGCTTCAGATCACAGGGACCAAAAGAAACGGGCCGCCGCTCAGCCGGCTGTACAGCGGAGCTCTCGGCGGCGCGAGGACCGGAGTTTGTTCCCGACAGATCAGCCCTGTTTCTGGGAACGCGTCCAGGTATCATCTGTTAGCCGGTGTAGCTGTGATCCACGCGTGAGCGTGACGCACATTTGTCATTGAGGCTCAGTGACAGCCAGAGACACACACTTGTCCACATAAATATGAGCTGCAATATTAAACGTGGGGTCCTGACACCCGTAGCATTGCGTTATAATAAGTTAGCTAACAGTTAGCTTGTTGGGCAGCTGTTGGGTAGGTTAAACATGGCTCCCGTTTACACAAGGTGATGAGCAGAAGTTGTGTAACCAAGTCACTGCCACATAACAAACTAGTGTCACAAACTTAGCTCACACTCGTGATGTTAATGTTAGCAATACGTTTGTTTGCCCCTAAACGTCGTGTTAGCGTGACTACATGCTAGCTGTTAGCTTAAGGCTCATCACTGGAGCGCATCAGTCACGTTGCCATGCTGCAGCACATGTAATGCAGATATGTTACTGTCAGATTTGGCATTTTGTATTTTATCATAAAGTACAAGAGAAACAGTGACGTCAGTTGCTGCAAAAGCTGATGGATAGCAGGCCTACGTCACTCTGCTGGGGCTTTGTCTCTCAAGGTCATGGCTGTTGAAACTACAAACAGCCTTAAAGCAGGCAGAGCATCCAGAGATGTTTCTGTGTCAGGAGAGCTGTTGATAAATTTTTATGTCTCACATGCATCCACTGAACAGCTGTGTTAATCTGTGTTTCATGCACTGCACCCAAATGATTTTACTCTCTCGGCTCTTCTATCAATCTCTTCTCTTTAACTCCATTCACCCAACCTGCTCTTCTTAACTGTGATGATCTACCCCTACACAGCCGTGTGTGGCCGTATGCAGCGGGATGTGTGCGTAACTATACCGTGGCCACAGAGCAGAAGGATGAGCCCAGCGCTGCCGTGCGGTCCAAGCAGGCGCAGCATTTTGACTGGGCTCTGGCCAAGCTGGACAGCTCCGTGAGGAGGACTGGTCGCATCACCAAGACCCAGCTGCTGCGTATCTTCCATGATATCTGCAGAACAGGTAGGCAGTGATCAGGGGGGGTTTAGGGTCAGATGGCAGATGGAGGCGGGATGATCAAACTGCTGATGCCTTACTTTTGCTTAGCACCATTTAGACACTCAGATCTCTCCCTTTATCCACCCTGTGTGTTTGCAGGGTATCCCAGTGGTAACCAGGCCTTGCTGCTGCTGCGTAGCTGTGGCACGCTGCTGCCAGAGGTGCCCCTGGAGGAGCGCACCGAGCTGGCACACCGTATATGGGAGAAGCTACAGGAGTTAGGTAAGAGGCCACAACACTGACATCAAGCTAATCATCTTATACTGCAAAGTACTGTGCTGAACCTTAAAGTATTAAACCATGGTTTTGCACGTTGTCGTCCGCAGGTGCACTGTATGATGTCAGTCACTACAACGCCTTGCTGAAGGTTTACCTGCAGAATGAGTTCAAGTTCTCCCCCACTGACTTCCTGGCCAAGATGGAAGCAGCTAACGTCCAGCCCAACAGAGTAAGCACTGCACTGCAGAGTACAGTTATTGTAGGAAACACTTGAAACAGACAACCATATGAAGATGTTGGTTGATGTAGTGTATTGATGTTTCAACAATTCACATTTCTTTTTTATTTTTGTGCACAGGTTACCTATCAGAGACTCATCACAGCATACTGCCAAAATGGAGACATCGAGGGAGCCAGGTGAGCAGAATTTGTGTTCTCATCATGACCCAACCAACAACAGATTTCCAACTCTGCCATCTGCAACTTGACAGATTCCAAGTTTCCAAAAGCTGACTTTTGGTCGAGCTTGGTTACAGCGCCAACATCTACCATTAAATTACATCCAAAATCACACACTATGCACTACATACCCAATATGTGTTCTGTCGTTCAATACACTTTTGCGTACATAAACAGTAGTATGTCAGCTGGAGACTCATAACCATGGTAACATGTGCCCACCTCAGCTCTACTGGCATCTGCAAGCATGATAAACCTCTGGACTGTTTAGTTTTTCATCACATCTGTATTAGTAACTTTGTGTTAGCTGTTTGAAAATGGGACTCACAGGTGAACTCATTGTGTAATGTAATGTCACAGGCATCTCTGTCGCCAGATAATGGTTAAATTAGCTAAATGCGAACATTAGCATGCTAACAAGTTGATATCTTTGTTTGTATCAGTTGTCAGTGCACGGCATACTCACATTTCTGGAGCCACGCCTCCAGCCTAAATCATGTTGTACCCAAAACAATGCTCAGTAATCATGTAATGTGTCATCCATCTGTAATAGTAACCTTACCACTTCATTAAGTGTTACCAAAGTTGCACAGCAGGCAACAGTCAGTGACCAAAGTCATTCACCTTCAGAGAGGTATTAAGTACTTATAGACGTTACAGTGCCGCCTTGTTTGCATACTGTAATATTTCACTGGTAATTCACTTACTGTTGGTTTCATAATAAGGTTTCAGACATGCTAAAAAATATCTTTTAGCATACTAAAAAGCAGGATGGAATTTTGGACACAGCCAGAGTCGTTTTAAATGTTCCTCTCCACTCTCTCAGCACCATATTGGGCTTCATGAAGAGCAAAGATCTGCCCATCACTGAGGCTGTTTTCAGCTCCCTGGTGACGGGCCATGCTCGTGCAGGGTGAGTGTCACTGCTTTGCTCTTGTAGCATGCTGTGTTAATGGCTCACAATAAGTGTTGGTGTTGAAATGATTAAATTTTAAGTCAGCTGTCATCTGTCACTGTGCAGAGACATTGAAAGTGCTAAGAACATCCTGCCTGTGATGCGGGGAGCCGGAATTGAGCCTGGTCCTGACACTTATGTGTCACTGCTGAACGCCTACGCTGAGAAGGGAGACTTGGACGGTCTGACAAAGGTGTGTGTGTTTGTTCAGTCGATCCTGATGCACATTTTACACCATTTTATTCACGTTTGTTTGTATCTAATAAATGGCTGTCTAACAAATGCTCCCCCCTGTCCTTCCCTTCATCCCCTCCCCATCTCTCCACCTCTTTCTGTGTCAGACTATGGAGGAAGCTGAGAATGCAGACTGCAGTCTGATGGACAGGGACATCATGCAGGTCATCTACTCTCTAGCCAAGGCCGGACACCATCAGCACATCTCTGTGATGAGTGAGCGTGTGAAGTTAGAGAGGGGTTACATTCCAGGTAAACAG